ATCCCCACAGATGATGATATGAAGATGAAGAGGAAAAGGGATCAAGGGTTGACTAAGCCGATCCCGCATCTCTATCAATCCTTTCCAGTCCGGGAGCGTGCCGAGTCTGCAGACGATGGGGAAGGAATCTGTGACCTGTTCAAGGAGATCAACGCCGTCATCGAGGAGGAGGCTGAGCCTGCAGGCATTCGTGATGCTGAACCAGGGGAGATGCTGCAAAATTGGACGTCCACGCCGATCCTGATGCCCCGAACTCTGTGGTAGAATGGAGTTATTTTGTGCATGCCAAAATCGGTGGTCGTTCGGAAGAGGCCCGAGACCCACCATTTCTGCATTTCTTGATTTTGAATTTTGTTATGATTGTTTAAAGGGCGACACGGCCTTGTGCCATGACCCAAATTTGCATTTTTGATTCAATTTAAATGAAAGCCTCCTTACTTTGACTTTGTTTATTCGATTGCTCGTTATATTTTACTTTTCTAATTTTGTCTGTTTATGATTTCAGTAACGTAAGTTACAAACCTGCCAATGTCACGTCATGTCATGAGCTAAACGAGCAAAATGAGGCAAATGACGACGAGGCTGACGACTACGATGACGAAAGTGGGGAACCAGACTATGTGGTAGAAGAATTTTGGCAGTTCGAGAATCAACATAAGCCGAATCTGGAGGAAACAGAGACGGTGAATTTGGGAGATTCAAAGCGTGTCAAAGAGGTTAAGATCAGCACTCACCTGAATGAAACTCAGAAGGTGAGCCTGGTGCATTTGCTTGCCGAATACAGCGATGTGTTTGTTTGGGAGGTCAGTGACATGCAGGGGCTGAGTACCGATGTCGTATCTCATAAGCTGCCTATCAACCCAGGGTTCGAGCCGGTGAAGCAAAAGACTCGAAAATTCAAGCCTGAATTGAGTCTGAAGATTAAGGAGGAAATCACCAAGCAGATAGAGTCTCGGTTGGTAGAGGTAACACAATATCCCACCAGGTTGGCGAATGTCGTTCCGGTCGCCAAGAAAGATGGAAAAATCAGGATTTGTGTTGATTACAGAGATCTCAACAAGGCTAGTCCAAAGGATAATTTCCCGTTGCCAAATATCCATATTCTGATTGACAACTGTGCCAAACATGAGATGCAGTCATTTGTGGACTGCTACGCGGGTTATCACCAGATTCTGATGGATGAAGAAGACGCGGAGAAAACGGCCTTCATCACGCCTTGGGGGGTATATCACTACAGGGTGATGCCGTTTGGGCTCAAAAACGCCGGTGCCACTTACATGAGAGCCATGACGACTATCTTCCACGACATGATTCACAAGGAAATTGAAGTGTACGTGGACGACGTCATAATTAAATCCCGCGAGAGTTCGGATCATTTGACACACCTGCGAAAATTCTTTGAACGTTTGCGTAGGTACAACTTGAAGCTAAATCCCGCCAAGTGTGCTTTTGGAGTCCCAGCTGGGAAATTGTTAGGGTTTATAGTCAGCAGAAGAGGTATTGAGCTCGACCCTTCCAAGATTAAAGCAATTCAGGAGTTACCTCCGCCGAAGACGAGAAAAGAGGTGATGAGCTTCTTAGGGAGATTAAACTATATCAGCCGGTTTATAGCACAATCGACGGTGGTATGTGAGCCTATCTTCAAGTTGCTGAAGAAAGATGCCCCAACTAAGTGGACTGAGGAGTGCCAGACCGCTTTCGACGCTATCAAGAGCTACTTGTCTAACCCACCAGTATTGGTTCCTCCGCGAGAAGGGAGTCCTTTGTTGCTATATTTGTCTGTCTCGGATAACGCCTTTGGATGTGTACTTGGTCAACACGACGAGACAGGGAAGAAGGAAAAGGCTATCTACTACATCAGCAAGAAGTTTACTCCGTACGAGTCTCGTTACACTTTGCTGGAAAGAACATGCTGTGCTCTGACATGGCTTGCCCAGAAGCTGAGGCACTACCTGTCGTCGTATACTACATATCTTATCTCCAGGATGGATCCGTTAAAGTATATTTTCCAGAAAGCGATGCCGACCGGGAAGCTGGCTAAATGGCAAATGCTGTTGAGTGAGTTTGACATCGTGTACGTGACTCAGAAGGCAATAAAAGCACAAGCTTTGGCTGATCATCTTGCGGAAAATCCCGTGGATGAAGAGTATGAACCTCTCAAGACATATTTTCACGATGAAGAAGTGTCATTTGTGGGTGAAGATATCTCTGAAGCTTATTCAGGTTGGAGATTATTCTTCGATGGAGCGGTGAACCACCAGGGTAAAGGTGTTGGAGCAGTCTTGGTATTAGAATCTGGTCAGCACTATCCTATAGCGGCTAAACTACGATTCAACTGCACAAACAACATGGCTGAGTATGAAGCTTGCATTCTCGGTTTGAAAATGGCCGTTGACATGAATGTCTACGAGTTACTGGTTATTGGAGATTCAGACCTCTTGATTCATCAGGTTCAGGGAGAATGGGCTGTGAAGAACCCGAAGATTGTACCTTACGTACAATATGTGCAAAATCTGTGTAAAAGGTTTCGCCAGATCGAGTTCAGACATACTCCCAGAATACAGAATGAATTAGCTGATGCTCTTGCCACCATCGCGTCAATGATCAAACATCCGGATACTGATTACATCGACCCGTTGGATATAGACTTGAAGGAACATCCAGTCCATTGTTCACATGTTGAATCAGAACCAGATGGTTTGCCCTGGTATTTCGACATAAAGAGGTACTTGGAGTCTGGGACATATCCAGAAGACGCCGCATCTAATCAAAAGAAGTCGATACGTCGTATGGCTCTCAATTTCTTTTTGAATGGAGAAGTCCTTTACAGGAGGACTCCAGATTTGGGCCTTTTGAGATGCGTGGATGCTACTGAAGCCGTGAGGCTTATTGAACAGATACATGCTGGAGTCTGTGGCACACATATGAACGGGCTTACCTTGGCAAGAAAAGTCCTTCGAGCCGGTTATTTCTGGATGACTATGGAGCATGACTGCTGCAAATTCGTGCAAAAATGCCACAAATGTCAAGTGCACGGCGATCTGATACGGGTGCCACCTCACGAACTTAATGCTATGAGTTCGCCTTGGCCATTTGTAGCTTGGGGAATGGATGTCATCGGTCCTATAGAGCCAGCCGCTTCTAATGGACACAGATTCATTTTGGTTGCCATCGATTATTTCACCAAGTGGGTGGAAGCAGCCTCTTACAAATCGGTAACCAAGAAAGTGGTGGCCGACTTTGTCCGCAACAATCTGATATGCCGATTTGGAGTTCCAGAATCCATCATCACGGATAACGGTGCAAATCTCAACAGTCATCTGATGAAAGAGATATGTGGAAAATTTAAGATTGTTCACCGAAGGTCCACTGCTTATCGCCCTCAAATGAACGGAGCTGTAGAGGCCGCCAACAAGAACATCAAGAAGATTCTGAGGAAAATGATTGACAAGCAGCGGGGTTGGCATGAAATGTTGCCATATGCTCTACTGGGTTATCGAACGACGGTCAGAACATCAACTGGAGCTACTCCATACTTGCTAGTATACGGAACAGAAGCAGTCGTACCTGTTGAAGTCGAGATACCGTCACTGAGGATCATCCAAGAAGCTGAGCTAAGTAATGCTGAGTGGGCTAGCAAACGGATTGATCAACTAGCTTTGATTGATGAGAAGAGGATGGTTGCTATTTGCCATGGCCAGTTGTATAGACAAAGAATGACTCGCGCTTTTCACAAAAGAGTAAGAGCCAGAAATTTTGAAGTTGGTCAGTTAGTTCTTAAGCGTATTTTTCCTCATCAAGACGAGCACAAAGGAAAGTTCGCACCGAACTGGCAAGGTCCTTACATGGTTCGCAAAGTACTATCTGGAGGTGCTTTAGTCTTGTCAGAGATGGATGGCGCTGTATGGCCCAAGCCTATCAACTCAGATGCTGTCAAGAGATATTACGCGTGAAGTTCGTTTTGCATTTCCCATCATTTACTTGTAATCTTCTGTTTGCTTGCATTTGTTCGAATTCGAATTCTTATCCCTCTTGTAACGAACTACGTCTGACCTGAATTCTCGAGAACGAGATACGTAGGCGGCCCATGTCGGCTTCGGTCACCCCATTTATCCCCTTAATCATTTCTTTGTAACGAACTACGTCTGACCTGAATTCTCGAGAACGAGATACGTAGGCGGCCCATGTCGGCTTCGGTCACCCCATTTATCCCCTTAATCATTTCTTTGCAACGAACTACGTCCGACCTGAATTCTCAAGAATGAGATACGTAGGCGGCCTATGTCGGCCTCGGTCGTTTCATTATCAAAACTTCCTATTTTGGTTAACCGTTGAGAGGGGAACTACGCTTGACCTGATTCCTGCCGCAACGGGATACGTAGGCGCCACAAGGGCTCGGTCATATCTGTCGAAAATTCTATTTCCCCTTCTACAATAGAAACTGGGACAGAATTTTGAGAGGGACTCAAAAATTCTCCAGAAGGAACCTTCTCCTCAGCGGATCAAACTAAAGACATTTCGAATTTGCGACTGGGACAGAATTTTTGAGAAGATCTCAAAAATTCCGAGATCTGTGCGATTGCAATGGAAAGAGGAGCAAGATACTAAACTGGGACAGAAATTTTGAGGATAGCCTCAAAATTTCGTCATGGGACTTCCCTACAAGTCCGGAATGCCTCTGAAATTCATTCGACAAGCGTCGGACTCAAAGAAGCTCGTTAAGCCTGACATGACATGACTTGGCATTGACTTTTCGAGATACTATTTCTTAAAAAATTTCTTACTTCTCTTAAAAATTTTCCTTTTATATTTCATCTGTTTTGGCATAAGATATTTTCTTATCTATCAAGAGTCGGGAAATCGGGAAATCAACCGGAGACATCAAGACAAGGAGCAAACAACCGAAGGGATCGACACAGATCAGTATGTTTAAAACTGACAATTTTTCTGTGGATGCAGGTTATAGCTTCGCTTCAAAATCGGCCGAATTCTTCCGACTTATGAATACGGAGAAGGAGAAAACTATCTCCAAAACCAGTGATTTTATTGAAAGCGGGAATATCGTTTGCGTCAGGATGCTTATGAATGTGTTTGTTTATTTCAAACCATTCTCAACAATGGGAAATTTACAAAATATCCAGTCAGATTCAAAGGTGAATCAAACGGGAATCTCAGCGAAGATTTCGTGATTTCTATAGATAGCGCTATTTGCATTGCGTTATCAAAGCAAGATGATTATTGTCGATCAAGGCCATGCATTACCTCAGAAGAGACGGTTATGCAATTATTATTTTATTATTATCGATCAAGTCGACGTATTATTTGGAGATCATCTTATCGTTACTATTCACGGGGGCGATATAAATATTCATGCATCACGAATTTATACACTGAAGAATCATGCATCGCGGAATCATGCATAGCGGAATCATGCATCGCGGGAATCATGCATAGCGGAATCATGCATAGCGGAATTCATGCATCGCGGAATCATGCATCGCGAGTCAATAATCATGCATGACGAGAAGATTTCATGCCTCGTCGAAATTTATACATCGCGAGAAGAATTTATGCCTCGCTGGAATTCATGCATCGCGGAATCATGCATCGCGGAAATCATGCATCGCGAGTCAATAATTATGCATGACGAGAAGATTTCATGCCTCGTCAAAATTTATACATCGCGAGAAGAATTTATGCCTCGCTGGAATTCATGCATCGCGGAATCATGCATCGCGAGTCAATAATCATGCATGACGAGAAGATTTCATGCCTCGTCGAAATTTATACACCGCGAGAAGAATTTATGCCTCGCTGGAATTCATGCATCGCGGAATCATGCATCGCGGAAATCATGCATCGCGAGTCAATAATTATGCACGACGAGAAGATTTCGTGCCTCGTCAAAATTTATGCACGACGAGAAGAATTCATGCCTCGTCAAAATTTGCACATCGCAAGAAGATTTTATTCTTCGCTGAAAGTTATGCATCGCGAGAAGATTCATATCTCGCAGGAATTTACGTATCGCGGGAAGATATTCATGACCCGCAAGAAGACGTACTTAGATAAAGAAAGAGCAATACTTATCCATTGGCCTCGACTGCATTATGTTATTTCTTATAAAAATAAACATCATGGAGAGCATCGAAGATGACAACAAAAGAAACATCAATATCGCATCAGCATTTATTTATTTATTTCGACATCAAGTATGGAATACATTGAAGATGATATTGCAAAACACAAGGCATAAGCTTTATTTGCTGGACGTCAGACCGATCGAGTCGACGTCGAACATGGAGGAGAACAATGAAGTGTCGACATGGTAAAAGACACTGTCTCCCATCCTAATTGCATTTTTTAAGCTGACGAGTTTTATCTCAGTCTTTGTCGAGAGCATCCAAAAGGATGAATTCTCCAAAAACCACAGGTGCGGACGACATCAAAAAGGATGCAGCACAACGTGGAACTTTTTCTTAGCAGCGAACTGGGACACAGTCCAAAGAGGAGTGTCAAACTCTTAGGACGCGAGCAGAGGAGCGACTTCCACCACAATCGAACCACCCTCTCGAGGCTTACGGGTTTTCTCTAGTTCTGTCAGTTTTTGTCTCGCTTCCGAAAGTTTTGTTTTATCGGAAGCAAGTTTCCAATCTGAGTGACAATACGCCAAAAGATTTGGAAATTATGTCCGTGTAAGTTCTTAATTATGGGTGTGAAGCGCGCCACATTCATGGCTAAGAGGTTACAAGCCTCTTTTTCATACTCGTTTAATGTGTCACTCGTCCAAAACCGAAGGTTAGCCAGCATAATAGTTTTCCTTTTCCAACGATCGAGTCGAACTACACACAGCCTGATTCCGAAGGTTTAAGGGTATGTAGGCGGATTCAATGTTGAAAACTCGGCTGTATTCCAACATTCGCTCTCGAATTCTATTCTCGAGCATTTCGATACCTTCATAATTCGGTGTCGAGGTGGCTTTTGATTCTTTGAAATCGTGCGGTAAATCAGCTTATCGAACTACAAGTGGCCTGAATTCTCACATAGCCTGAGATATGTAGGAAAACCGTTCGCGAGGGTTCGGCCATAACTCATAAATCCTATGTCAAATCCTTTCTTTAAAATGAATGGAGTTGGTCAAAATTGGTTTGGTCAATTTCATTTTCCTTGAGTTGCTTGCATCAACCCAAGAAAAATGAGGGACAGTTGTTGACACCCAATTTTGACCCACATTGGTGTAAATTAATTATCGAGCTTCGAGAATTTTTAAAATTATTTAAGTTAATTAGTTTTATAAATCTTGCAAAAAATTTTTTAAAAAAAAAAAAAAAAAAAAGAGAAGAAGATTTTAAAAATATATACATGTATATATGTATATGTATATATATATATATACATATATATATATATGTATGTATATATATGTATATAAATTAAAAAATATACATAATGTATGAATTTTATGTTACTTCGAATACGCTTTGACATAATTTTCGATAATATATATATATATATATATTTTACATAATTATGTATATAAGTAGTATATCTTACGATTATTCCACAATCATCAAGATATACATTTGAATGTTTTATTAAACTAGCCTTAGTTCAAATTATAATTATACGTTTGAATCACTTTAATGATTTTATAATTATTATATATAAAGAAGCTCGTTAATTAATTGATACGAATTCATTTTTATTTTGGGGTTGGGCCAACTTGGATATTCATTAAACCAACCCATCCTTAACTTAATTTGTTTTAGTTTGGGCCATTCACACAATCCTCAGCAGCCCCAGGCCCACTCCCTTCTACTCTATTTTTAGATTAAAGGCCCAATTCCTTTACAACCCACCCACAATTTACCCCAGGCCCAATTCTTAATCCCTCAACCCAACCCAATTCCAGCCCCACGACCCGCCACCCGACCCGACCCGACCCAGACCCCCTTTCCCCCTTTCTTCTTTCCCCTCACTCACGCTATTCCCAGGAAGAAACAGAACCCAGAAAACGCAGCAATGAACAGAACCCAAAAACGGAAGATGTGTCTTTCCCTCTCGCGTCTCCCTCACGTTCTCCCCTCTCTCCTGCGTCTCCCCCTCACGCGTCTTTCTCTCCCCCCTCCCATCGCGACCTGCAAAGAAAAAGAACAGAGCTGCGCCGAAAACGCAGCAAAGACAGACACCAAAAATGCGGAAGTGCAGTGCTTTCGGCTGTGGCAGACCTGCTCTCTCGTCCTTGCATCGCCGAGATGACTCCACGTAGCTCGCTAGTACCACGATTTCATCTCAACCCTCCACCTCGCCTCAAACTCCCTTCCCGCTCGAAATTTCGGATAAGATTTTGAGATTTTGAATTGAGATGGGCGGAAACTCGTGAAACCCATCCCAATTTCAAAAACCATAGGGATTTTTCTATATAAACCCCCATTCTCGTCAGTTTGGGGGTTGGATTTTTTTTGGAAATTTCTTGGGTTGAAAATTGGGAAATTCTGAAAAAGAAAACCGAGCTACTCTGTTATTGTGAGCTTTGGAAACACTTTGGTTTCTCTACTGTTGGTTTCAGAAGAACCAAGGAAGTCGGATTAGTTTTAGAGAGAAACACTCTGTTTCGTTAACGAGTGTTCGACAGTGGTGTTCCGTCGAAACGTCGTAGCAACCTCGGTGTGTCTGTTTCGTCGAGCGTAGGTGTGTCGTTCCAGCTCAGGTATTCGAGACAGAGGTTGGTTTGAGGTTGCGATAGTGGTGTTTCTCCCTTGCTCGTAGCCCCCAGTTCTGCTGCTTCTCAACAGGTAAAATACTTACGTTATGTAACTTCTTCTCTTCTCGATTTCAGTGTGGCGGAGGGAGTGTTGGAATTTCTTTTCGCGTGTGTCTACTGTTGGTTGATGCTGCTCATTTAGTATGCTGGTCCGCTGTTTCGTTTTTTTGTTTATGTCAAGCATGGTGAAACATTTGAATGATTGAATACATGGCCTGTTTGCTGTGAATATAGGACGCTATATTTGCTGGGTTTGGTTTGATCGAGATTTGTTCTTCAATCTCGACATGAGCCTAGTTAGAGTTTGTCTCGTCTGTCTCTTTCACGTGTCTAAAGATTTCGATTTTTGTATTGGTTATGTTGTGGTATAGGCTGTCGTCTTAGCCATTGTAAGCTGCTTGCTTCATCCTGCATGTTAGCTTGAATATGCTGTAGCCGAGAGATTTGTTCTTTTGTTTATTGCATTCTAGTTAGTTAGACTACCATGCTGTAAGAGAATTCTTCTCTTCCTTAGTTATGAATTTGGTTGTTACTGTTTGGAAACAATCTTGGATGTCATGTCGTATTTTCTCAAGTATGTGGTTTACTATCAAGCATCGTATTGGTTTAATTTGGGGCCATTTCTTCGCTCCGTTCTGTCTTCCTCCACTTTCAAACAAATCTCGAATATTCGAAAGCATGAGAAGCCGTAAACTTTCCTTTAGTCGTCCATTTCTGTCAAGCATGACTTAATACGTTAAAATATTTTTCGCAAGCTTCCATAACGGAATGTATATCTTGAAGTTGTTTTTTTTTAAAAAAAAAACCTTAGAAATTGTTAATCTTCTCGATTGTTTCTTTGTATTAGATTTAGCTTGGCATAATAGTTTTTTTTTTCGGTATTGAAATGGTGACATAATTCATTAAATATGGCATTTTACTTGTGTTAAACCACCGGGTGGTCACTTATATGTCATACCTTTCTTTTATGTATAAGTGTGATTTGCAATATCATTTTTTTTATCATATAGGGTTGTTTGTTATTCTTTATCTTATTGGATAAAATATGTATTGTTATTAAGTTTAGTTTGTTTTCTTACATATGTGTCCGTTGAATCGTATATTAATTCCTTTCGTTTACTTTGTGGCATGTAAATCTGTTCGAGTTCGCCATGAACTCTCCTTCTTTGCATATCGAGAGAGTCGTAAAGACTCACATCTTCCCTATCATCAAGTCAATCCACGGCATGGCAGGAAGACGTTCGAGATTCCATGAAGATCGAAGATAGTCAAAGGCTTTGGATTAGAAAGCCTCTTTATTTTATACCTTTCGTATTTATTTTGTAATGGGCATAAGTCCTTGTTGCTTTCTTTTCTCGTATTTATTTTATATGTTTAGATTAGGACAGGTTGAAACGGGTTAAAACCCAAAAGCAGGTGGGTCCAAAATTCGGTCAAGGCGAACAGAATCCGAATTTGGACCCAAAAATCTCTCTCTCCCTCTCTCTCTCTATCTCTCTTTGCTACTTGTTTACGTTTTATTTTGAATGTCGTTAGCTTAAGATTAGAAAACTCCAAACCCCCTTTGAAGTGCCTTCTATTTTATCAAATCTCAAAACTAAAATGGAATCTCAAAACGATAAATATTTCAACTCGTAAGTTGTTTAAAACTCTAACATGTTCAAAATTCAAATTCTAAGTTAGTTTGAATTTAAAGAGCTTTAAAATCTGAAAATTCGCCTAAGTAAATTTCTCATAAGTTTAATGATTTCAAAATTGTAAAGTTAAAATAAATAATAGTCAAATAAGTTAATCGCCGGATAACCGTAAGTTAGCGGAGTGTCTTAGGTGCCTAACACCTTCCTAAGACATTAATAGGAATCCCGAACCCTTAAAAGTTTTCAAACAATTTTCTGTTTAATTATTTGAAATCAAGTTTTCTTAATTTTCTCAAAATTAAGTGGCGACTCCTAAAAATACTTCTAATAAACAAACTTTTTTCGAAAACCACTTTTTCGATAAAACAATGTTTTTCATATTTGAAATTATTATAATTTACTACAGTCATCCAGGGGAGTAGTATTTAAACTTGATAATCGTGTTACATTCGATAATGGACTTGCCAATCCTCCAACAACCTTCATCTATGGTCCAAAGTACTTGGCGAGTTATCTTTATCCACTGAGCCCAATTCAGGTAAGCGAAGCATACAGTAAAAGATATGAAATTGAAATAGCTGAGTACTGGTAATCTTGATAATGAGAATGGCCGTGATAAGTGACTTTTTTTTTCCTTGGTGGTTTAGGACTGGGCACTGGCTACTACATTAGTAAGGCCGATTTATTTTTTCAGTTTGAATGACGTATCAAAGGAGATAGTTCTTTCAAACAAAAAGTATGGATCAGTTAGGAGAGCGTATATTGTGGCAGCTGAAGATGAAGTTCTAAAGAAGGAATTTCAACAGTTAATGATTAAAAAGAATCCGCCAAATGAAGTGGAAGAGATTTCAGGATCTGATCACATGCCCATGATGTCTAAGCCCCTTCAACTTTTTACTCATCTTACTCGTATTTCCAACAGGTATAGCTAAGAGCTATTAATTACGAAGAATAAGTGTAAGGCTGAGGATAAAATTACTTCACATATCTGATGCATTGATATGGAGATCTCAGTTCTTTCACAAAAGTCCTAATTAATTTGATATTTCAATCATTGTATTTGGAATTGACATCAATACACAACCTCTATTTTCCTAATTACTGATTTTTTGTTCAAGACCAAACAGTTAAATCTCATCAACGGAGAGGATATAGATATTAATATTGAAGAAGTGTTGGAAGTCATAGAAGTTGTATCTATATTTAAAAGCAATACTAATGATAACAAAACTTTGCAGAAACAGTAAAATTCCAAAGTTTAAATCATATAGTGAAATAACAAAAATTAATTAACTGGGAGTTATTATGCACAAATGAAAGTCAATAGTAGCAGATGGGAAATATATGATTAGTGATACAGAGGGTAAGGAATCCATGCGCAGTCGAAATCGTAAAAATTATAGTCACCCTTACCCTCTCCCAAAACGCTCTCTCTCTCTCTTTAAGCTCCTACTTTTCTCATCAATTAAATCATTCAAGTTGAATGGGAACTCAAAAATTGAAGGGAAATGTAGTGGATACGGAGAAAAACAAGTTTCTATCAAAGTGAAGTAGTTCTAATCATTATGTTGCTATATGCAAATGTAACATTGTCAGGGCACAAAGTTAAGAAACACTTTGTCCCAGTTTAACTTTGCCAACAATTTGACAAATTAAAATTCTAATATTTTTAGGCCATTAGCCGATGAAAGATGGTAGTCGAACCAAGCCAATGATTTACAAATCTGTTCAAGATGTGTTATGTTCTTGTGAAAGACTCTAAAATGTTGTTAAAAATTTCTATATCAGTTCATTATTTCTCTAACAGCCAAGATGATCACATAGTTTAACACTAGTAACCGTAATAGGATGTGCTTAGCCAAACCAACAAGGCACCTAACTGGTCGAGGCACGGATACTAATAGAGACAGCCATAACACCCAGGCTTGCACCAACCCCTACTACATTGCTTGCCCACTTCTTCAAATAATAGGTAGCCAACTTGAACCATAAGCTAGCAGAACTCAAACTCCTTTAAAAAGCAAATGCCTCAAACAATAGATGCTAATTAAGTAGAATAAGGCGGATATGTGTAAGGCTGAGACTACAACTCCAATCAATTCACTTATCTGATGCATTTATAAGGTGATCTCGGTACTTTCAAGTAAGTCTTTATTATCATTCTAGTTAGTTTGCCATTTCAACCATTTTCTTTCCGTTGTTAATTAGTTCCTTTCATTATAATTTCAGTTTTTGGAATTAACATACCTCTATTTCATGTAATTACATAATTAATTAGGTTCAAGACCAAAGAATTAAATCTCATCAGTGTGAAAATCATTTATACTCCTATGTAAGTAGGTAAACCAAAGGACCAAATTGAACCAAATTTGTGCGGATCAATCTTAATCAATTACTTGACTTGCCCAAAGGCTACTTGGTTGAGATAAGCTTGATCAAGATGAACTAATCGATAGGTTGTCATACCCCTACTACATTGCTTGCCCACTTTTCAAATAATAGCCAACTTGAACCTAAATTAAGTAAGCTTGCTAGCAGAAGTCAAAACTTCTTTAAAAGGAAATGCCTTAAATAATAGTCATTTGATGTGGCATTTGTTTCTGCATGAAACTAAGTTAACAGAAGCGGAACTCCTCTAACTATAAAGCTTCCTTATTGTGATGGTTCATATTATGTGCTCTTTCGTCAACAGAAGGGAAAAAGGATATGGAGAAAAGCAAGTTTTTAACAAGTCTAGCTAGTAGTTGTAATAGTTGTGTTGCCATATGCAAATGCAACCTTCTCACGGACTAAAGTTAAGAAACACTCTGTGCTTGTTCATACTGGATGTCATGGAGCCTGGTCTTGGTACAAGATTGTGGCGTTAATGACATCTTCAGGGAATAATGTCACAGATATTGACTTGGGTTCTTCAGGAATCAACCCGAAACTTGAAATCCCACATTTTTCTGATTACTTGAGTCTGCTAGCTTCTCCTCCTACTAAAAAAAGTAGTTCTTGTAGGCCATAGCCTTGGTGGACTTCCCATTTCTAAAGCCATGGAAATACTCCCCCAAAAGATTTCAGTTGCTGTATTTGTCACTGCTCTAATGCCTGGTCCAACTCTCAATGCAGTCATCCTCTACACTCAGCTGGTACCAATTTTCCATATTCCCAACTTAAGCCATGAGATAATCTGTTATGTTTGTTTAAACCTTTACATGTTTGAAACCAACTATACTTCGTTATAGACATTCAGTGCAGTGATCGATAGGTCAACTTGATAATCGTGTTACATATGATAATGGACTTACGAACCCTCCAACCACCTTGATCCTATGCTCAAAGTACTTGGCAACTAATATCTACCAGCTGAGCCCTAATAGGTAAGAAAATTATAATAAGAATGAAATATACTCTGTAGCTGAAGGCATCACCTACTTGAAGATTTTAATAGTTTGATTGTCCAAATTACTGATCTATTCAATTACTTAATCGCAACATAACTTGTAACTGATTTAAATTGTTTTTGTTTCCTTCTTGGTGTTAAGATTTGGCATAGGCCACAACACTAATAAGGCCATATTATTTATACCATGTGGAAGATATTTCTAAGGATATAGTTCTTTCAAGAACAAGGTATGAATCAGTTAGGAGAGTATTCATTGAAAAGAATCCACCAGATGAAGTGGAAGTGATCCAAGACTCTGATCACATGACCATGATGTCTAAACCCCTTCAACTTTTTACTACTCTTCTCAACATTGCCAACAAGTATAACTAAGAGATATTAATTAAGAACAATAAGGGGGACTTGTGTGAGGCTGAGAATAAATATCTGATGCATTGATATGGGGATCTCAGTTCTTTCATACAAGTCCTAGTCAATTTGATATTGTTATTTCCTTCATTGTAATTTCAGTGTTTCGAATTGATATCAATAAGCTACCTTTATGAACTATAATTACTGAATTTTAGTTCATTTGGATCAAGACCGAACAAATAAATCATGTCAACGGGGAGGAGCACATAGAAGTTGACAAAGTGTTGTAAATCCTACGGAAAATTCTTAAGTCACAAAACATGTAGAGAATTCTTTATAGCTTGAGGCGTGTCAATGACACTGTGTTTCATAAAACTAGGAGCACAAAAACCGACAAGATCCATTAAAGAAAGAAAACCCAACACTCTATAATATGTAGGAGGATTTTGTGTGGATCTCTGCAGCCAAAGAAGAATTACTTACGGACTTGAAAATATATTGATCAAGAAAACATCCACTCTGAATGGTTAAGGTCTGATCATATATAACCGACCAGACAATAGCAGGCATATACATCTGAATAATGATTGTTAGTCATTAGGACTATTCAAAGTTATATTGAATGGTACTGATCGAAGAATTGTACTATCAGCTAATGAATAATAGGTAACAAAGATTGATAGCTAATTAAGAAGATTAATAGCAGTGGTGGAGCCAGAAATCTCACCAAGGGTGTTTTACTAAAATTATACCGTATATATATACAAGCTCCTACTTTTCTCAACAATTAAATCATTCAAGATGAAATTAAAGGAAACTCAACAATCGAAAAGGAAAATAGTAGATATGGAGAAAAACTAGTTTCTAAACAAGTCTTGTAGTTATAAAACATATGTTGCTAATATGCAAATGCAACCTTGTCAGGGCCATGTAGCATGGTCATGGTACAAGATTGTAGCATTGATGATGTAATGTCAAACTGGAAGAGAAGCCCTAAAGATCTCATCGATGCCACAATATTTTACCAGGTTCAGGCTCAGGCTCCATGAACTAGCTAGCTCGAAGTGTTTCTTAGCTTCAGGCCCTGATAAGGTTTAGTATTAGAACTACTAGACTTGTTAGTCTTTTTTTCCTTCTTTCTAAGAATGTGCACATAATATGAATCATAACAAGACGCTTTGTAATTAGAGGAGTTCTGTTTTGTGCTAACTTACTTCCATGCACAAGCAACCCCACATTGGTTATTATTTGAGGCATTTGATTTTTATATATTAGTTTTGACTTCTGATAACTTACTTCCATGCATAAGCAACCCCATGTTGGCTATTATTTGGTGCATTTAAATTTTAAGTTTAAGATTCAATTCCATACTCGATCTATTTCTTGTAAGTATCATCATTCACCAAATTAACTAATGGAAGAGAGAATAACCAATTAAAAGTTTCGACAGACTTAACATCATGAGCTTAAATGCATGTTCAGTTAATGAGTCATTAGTTGATTTAGAACCTACAGAATATTCTACCCGTACCCATAAAGTTCAAAACTGAAACCGTCTTATGAATATAAAAAATCTAAATAGCCAATTTGGGTTGCTTCAGCATGGAAGTAAGTTAGCAGAAAACAGAACCCCTGATTGAAAAGAATCCACCTAATGAAGTGAAAGAGATCGAGGGCTCTGACCATATGGTCATGATGTCGAAGCCCCTTCAACTTTTTACTCTTATTATGAGCATTGCTCACAAATGACCACACAGCTTTTCATTACATATCCAAGAATGAATCTTCATTGAAATAATTTAACCTACACGTGAATGCATAACCGAGGAGGGAAGCAGCAATTCACATATATATGATGCATTTTGTATCGCGATCTCATGAATTCTTTCATGGAAGCCCCAATGTCGAGTTAGTTAATTAGACATCTCAATCATTTTCTTTCAGCTGTTATGTTTCGTTGTACAGTGTTTGGAACTGACATTAATAAACAACCTCTATTTAATTCCTCTAATTGCATATCAATATTACTATCTTGGTTCAATTGGTGTCTTACAAGCGGTACCACAACACTTGCCTTATCTCGTGGGTTAAACAACTACGTTGGAAAGTACGTGATTGAAGACGCAAGACGAAAGATTGAGCAAACGCAAAGGAAAAGATGGGAGAGAAACAGTCAAGGATTTGACTTAAAACTCTCACAGACTTGTGTCAAAAATAAAACTCACAGAATCAATTTTGTTGATTCCTTAGCAAGTCCATCCGCAACTTATTTGGTCTCTCTACAATAATGATTGTTAGACTGGGTTATAGTTTCACTGGGGCACAGATGGGTGGTCTGCTTACATACACTTGGATAATTCTGTCGTATCTTTAAATGGTATCAGAAAGGTAAATACGTGAATGAAATTTTTGAATCTGGAATTAGCTGCTGTCAACGACCAGCTTACCCCGATCTACAAGAACCCCAGAAGCCAGTTTCAGAGGAGAAGTGCGTGAATCACACACTCCGTTAAAGCTGGCGGAGACGACCCAGTTCGAAGCGCGTGCGGAGGCGCGTGAGAGTACAAATCTTGGTCCGGAATCATGTACGCATCGGTTTGGCATCTCCGGTTGACTAGTGGTGGTCTCCTTATCATAGAGCCATTTTTCCTAGAAGAAAAATCCTCCAAACAGAATCTGTAAGCCCTCTTTGGTCAGGTTTGAGACGACTCTGTTTATTGCTAATTTTTTTCTTGATTCTGGAAACTGCGTAACCGAACTAGCCAATACAGTTGGTAAAGAGTCTCAATATCAGAAATTATTGAAGTAACACACTTTTGCCAGGTTAGATAGAACATTTATGTTTCAAAAGTGGCTCGCATATCTTTATTGTTATACAAGTGACCCAAATGTACCCATCCAATATGAAAATAAAATGGTGAATGATTTCATTCCAATTATCTGGTGAAATCAGAAATTTTACTTGTTTATTCTCTTTTGACGAATGATTGAACTACCAACAAACACATCCAATAAAAAAATAAAATGCACCTATAGCACCTAACATGGGGTTACTTCAGCATGAAAGTAAGTAAATTAATTAACAAATGTCAAACTCCTGGAATTATATAATTGCCTTGTAATGCTTCATACAATGTGCTCATTCTTCAAAGGAAGAAGAAAAATCTATGGAGGAAAACAAGTTTCTATCAAGTCTAGTAATTCTAATACTTCTGTTGTCATGTGCAAATGCAACCATGTCAGGGCCTAAACGGCCTAAAACTCACAAGCACTTCGTGCTAGTTCATGGGGCTTGCCATGGAGCCTGGTCTTGGTACAAAATTATGGCGTCAATAAAAACTTCAGGGCATAATGTAACAGCTCTGGACTTGGGTGCTTCAGGGGTCAACCCGAAACAGGTCCTTGAAATCCCACATTTATCAGATTACTTTAGTCCGCTAATGGAGTTCATGGCTTCTCTTCCAGTAGATGAAAAAGTTATTCTTGTTGGACATAGCCTTGGCGGATTCGCCATATCTAAAGCCATGGAAAGCTTTCCTGAAAAGATTTCAGTTGCTATATTTGTCACTGCTCTAATGCCTGGTCTAATTCTCGATGCAGCCACCGTCTTTAATGAGGTATCATTTTCAAATTCAGCCATGAGATGATTTTCTTTATGTTAGCTCATATTCATGTTTGAAATTATTTTATTTTTCTGCAGTCGTCCAGTGGAGCAATATCTAAACTTGATAATCGTCTAACATTCGATAATGGACTTGCCAATCCTCCAACAACCTTCATCTTTGGTCCGAAATACTTGGCGAGTTATCTTTATCCACTGAGCCCAATTCAGGTAAGCAGACTGCAGAGCATAGTAAAAATATAAATTGAAATAGCTGAGTACTAGTACTCTTGATATAAAGAGAATGGCCGTGATAAACGCTTTTCTTTTCCTTCTTGGTGTTAGGACTGGGCACTGGCTACTACATTAGTAAGGCCAATTTATTTTCACAGTTTGGATGAAATATCAAAGGAGATAGTTCTTTCAAACAAAAATTATGGATCAGTTAGACGAGCGTACATTGTGGCAGCTGAAGATAAAATTCTAAAGAAGGAATTTCAACAGTTAATGATTGAAAAGAATCCGCCTGATCAAGTGGAAGAGATTTTAGGATCTGATCACATGCCCATGGTGTCTAAGCCCCTTCAACTTTTTACTCTTCTTATGCGTATTGCCAATAAATGACAAACTATCTTCATAGCTTAAACTAGCTTGTATTACATATTCATGAATAATGCATAGTTCAAATAAAAATTAGATTACCCTTTTGTGTAGTGATTCCCTTGCTGTTCCCCACAAAAACATCTTGGAAATGTTCAACATAAGCAAGTTGCAAATTTTGGCCTTATCACTTGGCGTCAGGGATTTGGTGAAATCGTGCCTTTCTAATTACATCTCCAATACATGAGCATTTCACAAAATAATTTAACTTTAAGGATCCAAGTAACGCCATTTTGCAATTATTTTCATCAGATCATAGATTCCAAAAGTCGATGTACATATGTTATGTTTGGACTTATAACTCTAGCCCCAACTTACCTTTGACTTACTAGAACGTCGAAGGAACAAAATTCGTGCACTCAAGATTTTCACACTACTCGAATTGAGTTGCTGTTTTTGTTACTGAAGTGATGATGTCTGGACTAACTCTGAGCGTTTCTACCCTCACGAAACAGTTCAAATTTCCCTTTCTTATTTTCATTCTATTTGTTGAACATATTTGGTTTAGTTTAATGCAAAGAATGATACGTAAATTCCAGTGATTTCATGAGATTTAAGCACCCTGTGTTTAATTTGATTATTTCCCCTCACTTAACAATTTCCTTCTGCTGTATGAAATCACTCGGGCAATAGAGTCCTCTGTTAGATAGCACGTATAATCATCTATGACCTTTATGATCATGTCCCCTGAAATTTTATGTCAAAAAATTGTTGTGACTTTGTTTGAAAATGTCCTCATTTATCCTGCATAGTGTACAAAAACTTCTGAGAGATTTTTAGGTTCATTCAGCAGTTGACATTGATCTTTGTTATCCTTTCTTTTATCAGTGATACTGACAATCAAACTATTCTATGCAACTTCAGCCTGAATAATCTAATAATCTATTCTCTTCCTCTAGTTGACTTAGTGAATGATAAAATTCCCAACAAATAATATTTGATATAGGATTGCTTCAGCAGGGAAGTAAGTTAGAAGGTCAAACACCTTGAATATCTATAATAATTGTCTTGTAATGGTTCATACTATGAGTTCAAAAGAAGAGAAGAAAGTAAATGGAGAATAACAAGTTTCTAGTAAGTATAGTACTGATAGTTTTGTTGCCATATGTAAATTCAACGACATCAGGGCATAAAACTATCAAGCATTTTGTGCTAGTTCATGGCGCGTGTCATGGAGCCTGGTCTTGGTACAAGATTGTGGCACTGATAAGATCTTCAGGGAATAATGTCACATCTCTTGACTTAGGTGCTTCAGGGATCAACAAGAATCAGGTTCTCGAAATCCCACATTTATCTGATTACTTTAGTCCGCTAATGGAGTTCATGGCTTCTCTACCTACACATGAGAAAGTTATTCTTGTAGGCCATAGCTTTGGTGGATGGGCCATATCTAACGCCATGGAAAGATTTCCAGAAAAAATTTCAGTTGCTGTATTTGTTACTGCTCTTATGCCTGGTCCAACTCTAAATGCGACCACTCTCTTAACCAAGGTATATATAATTCACCAACTTTGCCTTTGCTATGATCTGTTGAGTTACCTACTAACATTTTTTCATGTTTGAAACTATTATTTAGTTACAATCTTTCAATGGAAATGTATCTCAACTTGATAATCGTTTAACGTATGATAATGGACCAACCAATCCTCCAACAACCTTCATCTTTGGTCCAAAGTACTTGGCAAGAAATGTTTATCAGCTGAGCCCAATTCAGGTAAGCAAAGACATAATGGTCATGAGGATGGCTCTAATGTTGCATGTTTTCGCCTGTTGATTCGAGTAGAACATCAACATCATTGAACTAATAAAGTTTCCTCTTCTTTTTTTTTTTTCCCTTTTGTTGTTAGGACTTGGCGCTGGCCACTACAGTAGTAAGGCCTCTATACTTGTACAGTGTGGAAGATTTTGCTAAAGGGATAGTTGTTTCAAGCAAAAGGTATGGAACAATTAGGCGAGTATTCATTGTGGCTGTTGAAGATAAAACTCTACCCAAGGAATTTCAACATTGGATGATTGAAAATAATCCACCAGATGAAGTGAAAAAGATTTTAGGCTCTGATCACATGGCCATGATGTCTAAGCCCCTAAAACTTTTTACTCTTCTTCTACGTATTGCTCACATGGGACGAGCTTATTGATCTTCGATTAAATATTCAATAATAAAGTAAACTGAGATAAATTTTAAAAATTGTACTTCAACTTTCCCTTGTATTCTGATGTTTCTTTTTTCATAATTTATGAGATGTGCTTACTATTCAATCGTATATGATATACTCTCATAAAGTAATATTGCAGAAATCCATCTCGCTACAATCTATTGCATCAATAATTCAATTGATCTTCCTCTAGTTGACTTGAATAGCGGTCCTCCAATCGGCTATTTGTTTACTTACCTTTCTCAAAGACAAATCGAAAGCAAAAACGTAACTTTGGCTCAACATATATAACTAAATGCGCAAGCAAAAGACATTTCAATCATTTTCAGTTGCATTTGACAAACTTCTGCAACCCCACCTAAACCCTGATCTAGTAAAATGTCGAATTTGAAAGAAGAAAAAATCAAAATTCACTCAAATAATTAATCACGTGGACAAGGTTAATTATCAAGTTCAACACTAGAAAAGAGAAAAAAAAAATATTATGAAGAAAATCAAGTTTCTAATAATTTTAGTACTGATACTTTTGTTGCCATATGTAAATTCAACAACATCAGGGCCTAAATGGCCTAACGCTAACAAACACTTTTGTGCTAGTTCATGGCGCGTGTCATGGAGCCTGGCCTTGGTACAAGGTTGTGGCACTGATGAGGTCTTCAGGGCATAATGTCACGGCTATTGACTTGGGTGCTTCAGGGATCAACCCGGAGCAGGTCCTTGAAGTCCCACGTTTGTCTGATTACTTGAGTCCGCTAACACAGTTCATGGCTTCTCTTCCTACACATGAAAAAAGTGGTTCTTGTAGGCCACAGCTTTGGTGGATTCGCGAGTTCTAAAGCCATGGAAAGCTTTCCAGAAAAGATTTCAGTTGCTCGATGCTTCAATGCCTGGTCCAACTCTCAACGTGACCACACTCTACACTCAGGTATTACGATTATTTGGCACAACTACTTCTTGTTACATACTACTATTCTGTTATTTTGTTACAGATTGGTAGCGGAATGATATTTGAACTTGATAATCGTGTTACATACAACAATGGACCCAACAACCTTCAACTTTGGTCCAAAGTACTTTGCAAGTCATCTTTATCAGCTGAGCCCAATTCAGGTAAGCTAAGCCCCAATTGGACTTTGGGCAACTCTTTTTTAATTTTCTGTGATCAAGTAAGGTACAAGATTCATTTATTTTCAGAACGAAATATATTTCCCTTATCTTCTCTTTTCATACATTTACAGTGTTTTTGCAAGGAAAAATAGAGGAGGGATTTTGTACGATATCAATTAATTCTTTTTTCTTAATAATTGTCTTGCTTACTTATTGCATCAATATTAGTTCAATAGTTTCTTTATTGATAGTCTAATATTAATAATCATAAGAAATCGATTGGTCTAATATTTGGAAGGGATGATTACTTAGGCTAGAAGAAGATCTCATATGATTTATTCACAAATTTTGAAATTGAAATGATACAAGACATGCTCCAAATTATTCAAAGTCTTCCTCGTGTTTTTTTTCTTTGGTTTAAAAAAGTATTGTCTATGTATAAAATAAAAGAGAAAGAAAAGAGAAAATCATATATATTTCAAGTGAAGGTATGTATAAAATATATCTATACATTTTAATAGTGGAAATTTGAATAATGAATGAGGCATGTAAAAAGTGCTTCAGAGTAAGGAATTATAAAACATTACCAACAATAACGTTTTATGTTTATTTACTCTGTCAAATTTTTATCTTTTTATTATTTAATTTTTTTAAATAAAATATTACCTAAAACATTACTGAATAAAATATTTTTTAAAATAAAATATTACATAAACAAGCCTATTATATGTAATATACATAAAAATAAAAATAAAAATAAAATTGACTGCGCATATATATATATAATTTTTCAGCTAAGAAAATTTAGATTAATACCGAAAAGTTAAATTTTGACTTCTGTAATAAAAATCTCACCTTATGTAGAATTTCTGTGTAAAATCCAGAAAAACGATCTTGGTCAATTGGCTAAATGTTGAGCTTATAAAACATTCACTCCGTTTAGTGCTCCATTAATTTGCTAATTCTTGTTTATTCTTTCGTTATAAAACTATAGAAATATATTTGTTAATCTTGCCGCCAGACCAACCAGCAATTAAACCTCGAAGTCTTTGTGTTTAATGTTAAATTAATAACGCAATTATCAACAAATGTATGATGTTTAATTTCTTGGAATTTAATAATCTTAAAGGAAACTATCAAAGGACGTATTATGCTTCTTTAAAGCAATGATTGGAACTCTACATAATGACAGAATATTATATAATTTCTTTATTCTAGCTTCTTCTAGTATATATATATATATATATAGTTACATACAGGGACAGAGCTACAGCTAACGAAGGGTGCACAAGTGAACATCCTTCCTCGGAAAGTTATATCGTACCTACGAGACAAGTTTATGATATTTTTAATATATATTGAGGTTTGCACACATTTAAGTAATTATAGGAGCTGGCTCAATGGTAAAATGAGTGTTAGGAAGTGCAAAGCGGAAGGTTGAGGATTTGATTTTTGGTCCCTTCAAGTGTTTTTAAATATATTTATTAGTCAAAATTCACATCAGATCAGTTTCAAAAAATTTTTGCGGTAAATAATTAAATAAGGAGTATTTTTTAAAATTATGCACTCTTTACAAAATGACTGGCTCCGCCATTGATTAAATATTCCATTTCTATCAGAAAAATAATTTAAATATATGTTTCGTTATACTTTCAATTTAAATATACATCTCTTAGTTAAACTTTTAGCTCAAATATTTTTTTTCCATTATATTTTGACTCAAATTATCTTATAATTTTGACGAAAAATATGTGTTAGGCTCAAAATCAAATAATTTGTCCCCA